TATAATAAACCATAAAAGTCAAAATATTTTTATAATAAATAAATTTTTGACATGTTACTCGTTTCTAGTGTTTAACATAAATTATAAACACGGTTATTGGAAAGTATGGCAAATTAAAACCTTTACGTCATTGAGCGAAATGGTGGGATAAGCTACAAGAAAAATATTTGAAAAGATATTATGAAAAAGTACAGTCGAGATCATGTTAAAAAGATTTAAAATAAAAAAAAAGGTATAAACAAATAATCCAAGTGCAGTTAAAAGAAAAAATGTTCTTAGTTAAATCCAAAATTATTATATTATACATTATTATATTATTATTAAAATAAAATATTATATATTTTGATTAAAATAATAATAATATAAAAACTTTCATCATTTATGAAAAAAGGATTTTAACCAATGTTAAAATTAAAGTAGTTTAAATAAGTGAAGCAAAAAAACTTAATAATTATAGTTTGCATCATGACAAATATGAACGTTTTTAATAACATCTCTTGCAATGTAAAATATTTAAAAGTTTCAATTTTACATGTGATGCGTATTTTTTGAGATATTTTAATTGCGTAACTTGCTACTATGCTCAACTAGCCTCGCTTTACCCTTTTCCTATACATTTGGAGATTTTACTAGATATGTTTTTAATGTGATTTTTTCAAGTGAGATTTTAATTTATACAAACACCTAAAAAGTTGGTCACTGTTACTTTTTTAACTTTTTTGGCAGTTTATGTTTTTTGATAAGAGGATGGAAAAGAGTCCATTATGATTTGTCAATATTAAGAGATAATTTGTTAGATTTAAATCAATCAGATAATTTGATTAGTCCGATATTTACGCAATGAAATAGAGTAGTAATGCTTCTGCGTGACATAAATAAATTACTATCAGTCACCCAAACATTATTGTTATTAAATCCAAGACTTATATAGATCATTAATATAAATAAAGAAAAGAAGAGGTCCAAATCTCAATCCTTGCAGAACCCCACATATAATATTCAACAAGTTTGATGACAATGTTTTACCGATGCACCCAAACTGTTTAAAATTAGTTAAATAACTTTTCAACCATTTTAAAACATTGCCTGTTGTCCTATAATATTTCAATTTTTTAGCAAGAATTTTATGATCAATTGTATAAAATCCTTTTTCAAAATCAATTAAAATTCCTAATATGAATTTAGAATTTTTAAATGAGTTAGCTATAATTTTTGTATGTTTTTCCAAATTATAAATGTTTACTTCTTGTAAACATTTGAAAATTTGAAAAGCATGTCTTTTAATACGTCAAAACACCTTCTAATAATTTTCCCAATTCAAAAAATAACATCATAAATACCTTTATTAAAATTTTTGAAACTTTTTTATAATATAAACTGTTATAATCAGTCAGGGACTCAAAAAAGGTTAAGACGATGTGTTGATCGTCACAGCCTTTCCATAGAACACCTGAACTCATTAAAAAACAATTTAACTTTTTTTTACAATAAAAAAACAACAAAAACAACAGCAATAACAAAAAAAAAAAAAACGCTAACTAAATGTCGTTTGTAAGATAAAAAAACAAATAAAAATTTAATAAAACAAAGCACTTTTTTGTGAGTGCAAAGCATTAAAAATAAAAAAAGAGGTTTAATTAAACAAAAATTAAAAAAAAAAAAAATTTCAAAAATTTGAAAGCAAATTTGTTGTATCATTTGTAAATTACTGTAAACTATAAAAGGAATTGAGAAGATTCAATTTAGTTTGCCGTTTAAACTTTAAGCGATGAAATGCTTTTTAGTTTGAAAAAGAAAATTTATTTAATTTGGAAATGAGTCTATATTAATGGACCATACGGTTCGTAATTAGAAAATTTGACTGCCGAGATTTAATTTTCCCTAAGTGGTACCTGGTATTTGCCAGTACCTGGTATTTGAACACAGATTATATTTTCCTAAAAATGATATTAAAAAAATATCTGAAAAAACACTAGGCACAAACTGGGCCCAAATTTAATTAGGGTTTACTACCCTAATTAAATTATAAATTGCTTAGTACGCATGGTTTTGATGGCTTTGTAATTTTAGCAATTTGTTTTATGTATCACACAGTATTTGCGTACATAAGCTACAATATATTTTTCATTTATTCATAGTTATCTTTCCTATTGCATTATTGCATGGAGAAGTACTAATAATGGGAATATTAAAAAAATCTATAGCAAACAAAAACATGCAAGTAGAATTACATTTGGTGTTTACAGAACTGTTAATGGTGAATCTCTTTTAATGGAACTTAATGCACTCAATGTTTATAAACTTAACATATACCAAGTTATGCTTCTAATGTTTAAGAAAATACATGGTTTATCTCCTAACATATTTCACTCTTACTTCACCAAAATTACTCATAAATACCACACAAAGTATTTAACTAATAGTTTTGTTGTTCCAAAATCTTATTTAAAACTCAGTTCGTTTCAAAATCAATACCGTGGACCATTTAATTTGAAAAGTTTTTTGAAAAATATTATTAAAAATAAAACTCTTCTAAATTTCTCAGTAGAACAACTCAAAAGAGAATCTAAACAATTTCTATTAGAAAATTACTTCGACTTTAAAATTTTTTTTTAAATAAGTACATATTTTTTAAAAAAAAGTTCCTAAAATAATTAAATTGAAAAAAGTCACATATTTCTGTCTTGATTTGTTTCTGATTTTCTTCTTATAAAAAAAAAAAATCAATAACTAAACAAAAAAATATATATATATATATTATTATACAATTTAATAATTATAATTGTATTGTGTTCAACTGTATAATTTTCAACCTTTAAATTTTTAACTTTTAATTTTAACTTGTTACATAAATTGAATGCGACAATTTAAACGGGGCTCTGCGAAAAGACGATGAAACATTAATTCAAAATTTTGTCGTCTCTGCTCAAACGTAAGGTCAGTTATGTAGTAAAATGTTCAACTATACTATCTTATACTAAATTTAAATTCATCAGCAGATTTTAACTTCAATCAAAATAATTGTAAATCACAAAAGTTATGACCATGCAAATTTACAACCCGTTTGTTTTAGGGATATCGGAAACCTATATAATACCTGCCCTCACGTTTGGGAAATGGGGGCAAAAATATTTTCAGTATTTTTGTTTTCGGGTCTCAATCATTACAATTTTTTGCTAAGTCTCCTCATTTGGCATAGACATAAACATACTTAAGTTTGGAGTAAGCAACTAACACATGCTGAATTAAACTTAGTATCAAAGGAGTTGTTTGTTAAAATATTGTCAATCACAGTTTTTCATTGAGATAATCTTATTTTATTAACCCTTAATTTAAATAAATTCTGAAATATTTTACTTTTTTTTCAATTAAAAGAGTGCTTGCCCATATCAAAACTCTCAATTGATATGGGCAACCACTCTACAAATTATACCTCGTTCATACTGACGATAAAACACGTTTTATTTTAAATGCGTATCAAATTTTTAGTATAAGCTGTATAAAACGACAATAAAGGTGAGTTTTCACACATCCGTTTTTTCACGGAAACGGAAAAAAATAATCACGTGGGCATGCGTAGTATAAGTTTTAATATGTCCGAAAGAAAACTACGCATGCTTACGTGATTATTTTTCCCTTTCCTATCCCGTTCCCGTGAAAAAACAGATGAGTGGAAACTCATCTTAAAGTATCAACACTTTACCATAGCTATGGTTACGTATGGTCACAAAAATAGATTGTCTCGTAAATAACAAAAGTGTTATGATTGACCCGTTATCTGTGATTTCGAAAGTGCCCAGTCAATCAAAATAATAAATTGAAAAAAGTATCAATCAAAAGTAATAATCAACATTACAGTATATCAAAGATACAAAAAAATCTCATAGCGAAAGTAACCGGTCACGTTTTTTAAGTTACTTTATACAATATATGTTAGTGAAACGATACAATATGTTTTATTATTTATTTATGCAAGCTTTTTATCGATAAAATATTTTTTTACTCTATTATGTCTATTAGACATGTTTAGTACGATGTCTTATAGTCTAATATAACGTTCTAAAATCAATGAAATAACCTCTTGATATAATTTAAAAATCCAAAATAAACAAAAAGTTCATATATATATATATATATATATATATATATATATATATATATATATATATATATATATATATATATATATAATGCATATAATATATGTATATATATATACATATATATATATATATATATATATATATATATATATATATATATATATATAAATATATATATATATATATATATATATATGTATATATATACATATATATATATATATATATATATATATATATATATATATATATATATATATGTATATATATAATATATATATATATATATATATATATATATATATATGTATATATATGTATATATATTTATATATATATATACATATATATATATATATATATATATATATATATATATATATATATATTTATATATATATATATATGTATATATATATATATATATATTTATATATATATATATATATATATATATATATATATATATATATATATATATATATATATATATATATATATATATATATATATATGTATATATATATACATATATTATATGCATATATATATATATATATATATATATATATATATATATATATATATATATATATATATATATATATATATATATATACGTATATATATATATATATATATATATATATATATATATATATATATATATATATATATATATATATATATATGTATATACATATATATATATATATATATATATATATATATATATATATATATATATATATATATATAATATATATATAAATATAATATATATATATGTACATATATATATATATTATATATATATATACACTTACTAAAGCGTATTTTTATAAGCATTTGCTCACTTTTTTTGCTTACTTTTATCCATACTGCTTTTTTAGAAAAAGAAGAAAAAAAAAACCAAAAATGATGAATGAAACGATTGCTGCCCCATCCCAAACTCTCAGTTGATGTAGCAGCACCCTCCACTGCGAGTCAGGCTATTTGTCAGTCATTTGATGGAACATTGCATTGGATGGAACTGTACTTGAATTCTCTAAAAATTTCAACTCTCTAGGTGTGAAGATGATCTATTGAATTAAAAAAAACATATTTATTATATAGCCAAATATCTAAAAAATTATATGCAAAATATCTATAAAAACAAGTTATCTGTGGTAAATATAAAAAAGATGTTAAACATAATCTAAACTTTTTATTTATACATATAGTTTTGTTTAGTTTATATTCTGTTTAAATTACATATGACTAATGCTACTAAATGGACTAAAATACTGGTTTTCACCTCTATAATTGTACCACAATATCAATGTTGTGCCTCTCTTCTAAGAAAAAAATGAAGGGAATCTTGGAATCCTCCAGTTACTACAAAACGGCAATGAAATAAATCCTCAAATGTATTTGGCTTACACATAGTGTTGATGTGCCTAATGAATTGAAATTGTTATCAATCAAACAAAAATTTTATCAATCAAAATTACAGTAAAAGTTCTTGCGTTTTTACATTATGTTATCAATTAGAAAACATGTCTGTACTAAAAAATATGTGTGTTAAAAATAAGGATATGCATAATCATTGTAACAGAATATCTTAGGACTGTCATATTCATCTACACAATAATATAATTAGCCAAAATTTAGTATTCTTTGAAGGGAAAATTATGTAATAGTTTGCATCTTTGAAAATAAATAATTAAACTATATGTATGTATATATATATATATATATATATATATATATATATATATATATATATATATATATATATATATATATATATATATATATATATATATATATATATATAATAGCGTGACTCACAGTGGAGTGCTGCTACATCGACTGAGGGTTTGGAATGGGGCAGCAATCATTTCATTCATCATTCTTCGTTTTTTTTCTTCTTTTTCTAAAAAAGCTGTATGGGTTAAGGTAAGCAAAAATATTGAGCAAATGCTTATAAAAATACGCTTTAGTAAGTGTATATATATATTTAATATGGTTAGAAACTGTTCACTATATAAAAGTTTATCTTTACTAATAATATATATAATATATATAATATATATATATATATATATATATATATATATATATATATATATATATATATATATATATATATATATATATATATATATATATATATGTATACCCCCTAAATGTGTTCTATGTAATAAACTAACACTAATTTAAAAAAATTTTCTAAATAAAAAAATATTTTAGGGGTCGCTCAACACCCTTAAACATCAAACGGGTTCCTTATATTTTTTAAAAAAAAATTTCTTGAAAAGTATTTCATGTTGGGTCTCAAAAGTAGTGAAATTTTATTAAAATTTCAAAAATAATAAAAACAATTTATGGAAACACAAATTAAAAAAGTTTATTTAAAAAAAACTTTGAAAATATGTACTTTTTGTTTTTTGTAAAAAAATGATAGTGCTATTTTAGGGTTTCTCCTTTAATTTTCACGACTTTGGATGTCATGTCTGTGGAGTACAGTAAGTAACAGATGTGACACACATAGAAGGGTCTTGACTACAAATGACAATTTTACCTGTATTTGAATTTTTAAATGCCTATTTATAGAATATTTAACATTTTAAAACTTTGACCTAAAAATTGGTACAAAATATAGAGATTGGTTGAAAAAAAAAAATCCTAAAATTAGAAGAAAAAACAATTTGTTAAAGCAAAGAGGTGATAAATACAAATAAAAATTCTACAGAATGCAATATGCAAAAGATAATACTCCTCAAAAAGAGGTTAAAAAATGACCAGTGGTACAAAATGCTAGAAGGAAGTGTATAAAATTCTTGCTTTTTAGCAAAGCGTTCAAGACACAAGTACATTCAAATTTTTGTAGTGAGAGTTGTATTGACAAGAAAAGGATTTTGTCAGGGTATTAAGCGGAAAAATAATAAAGAAGTACAGACTTCAAAGAAGCCTCAACAATCTTACTTCTAGATATCTTACCATACAACTTGAATCAGCCCTCAAATGCACTGAAACAAAAAAAACTTAAAATGAAGTCGAGAAGTTTTTAGTAAAAGATAGTTCTAGTAGGCCTATTGCTGGGAAAAAAGAAACAACAAGAAACAAAGTGGAAAAATAGAAAAGACTATTAAATGATACAATGTTGAATTTGTAGAATGAGTTTAACCAACAACTGAGTTCAAGTCAATGTCTTATAGCACATTTTGCAAGTTGAGACCCTTTTGGGTTGTTCAACCAGACTTCCATAAACGAGATACTTGTCTTTGTATTGAGCATGAGAATTTTTCTTTGACTCTTGAAAAGTTGTACAGTTTAAAGATATTCGCATATAAATATCCTACTGACTTTCTAAAAAGTATAAAATATGACGGCGAGCTGAGAGAATTATGCCTGGAAAAAAAACTTGGAGTATATCTTTTAAATAAAAAATAGTTTGTAAAGAATATGAGAATGATATGAATGAAAAAGTAACATTTCTACAATTGTCTAAAAAAGTGTTAAACTTGAGGTAAAAGATAAAATGAAGACATGTTTTAAAACTGTAAAAGAAGAGTTAATATTAACTAAAAAATTTTTTGCATTTTATTAACAACTTACTGGAAAAGTTTGTAAGGCATGCATGCAACATAAAACTCCAGTAAAAAGCTTTATCAGAAATAAAAAATTACTTAGGTTCTTGGGATATTTTCATTCATTGTTATTTTCAAAAAATTACAATTGCAAATACTCAAAAGAAATTCAATCACTCCACTTTGGTGGATCAAGAAACCAAGTGTCTATCCATACAGTTGTGGCCTACTATTGTAATACTTCTGAAAACAAAATAAAGGCAAACTTTTACTGTACACTTTCAGATTAGGATTTGTGCACATTTAAAGCCTGTTCTTAATGACTTAAAAGAAAAGCTGCCTATCATTTAAACAGTTCATTTCCTTAGCGACAGTACTTCATTTCCTTAGCGATAGTACTTCATTTTCTTAGCGATGGTAACAGAAAAAAGTTTAAGTTCTATTTAGTAGGTAATTTTATTCAAAAAGAATTTAGAGCTAAAACCAGGAGGTGGCATTTCACAGAAAATGGGCACAGAAAAGGTGCCTCTGATGGAATAGGGGGTTGTATCAATATAACCGCAAACAGATTAATAGGACAAGGGACAGATATTCCTAATATTAACTGTTTGGTTGAAGAAATAAAAGAAAAGTGTCCAAGTATAACCATCTATACTATTAACAACACAGGATTTAATCTCTATAAGAAATGTGTACCAGAAAACCAACTTTCAGTGGACTTAGCAAGTTCATGAGGTGTTTTTGAGTTCCACTAAAAGAGAAACATTGTGTATGAGAAGGCTGACATGCACTGAATGTGATAATGATACAAAATGCAATCACTATAGTTTTAGAGAAGTATTAATCCCGGTGCAATTTTTGATGGATCTTTATCCTCGGATCCTTTTAATGTATAGCATTTAGAAATTTAAGTTTGCTTATATTGAATATTGCAAACCTTTGCGTTTCTTAAATGTTCTCTAGTTATTTAGTCAGAAGAATGTTTGAACAATATCCATTTAGGATTTCCATGACTTTTTGAAAGTCATGGAAAATTCATAAAACTTTTTAAAACTACCTTTATTATTTTCTACTTGTGATATTTTTAGGATGCAAAGAAAAGTACTAGTTTGTCTAGTCTAAATCTTTTTTGAAAAAGATATTTTTGCAGTGTAAGTTATCAGAGAAGTAAAAGAAAAAGAGTTTTTTTAGACATGATTTCAGAACTTTCTACCAATTTTTGGTTTGCATGTTTTATAATGATCAAGTTGCAAATGCTTAGTGCATGGCAAGTGCTGAATATTTTACTCAAGTGATTTATCATAAAAGTTTATGAAAATTATTGAAAAGTCATGGAAAAGTCATGGAATTTCAAATTTGAGTTGCCACCCTGCAACAAGGGGGCAATATAGTTTTTTGAACGAGTTACTATTCAAAAACATTTGCTAATTTACTTACTAATAATACTTAAAACTTTACAAAACTTGTACCATGGACTATTTTAAGTCAAATATTAAAAACTACTGATTAAAGATGATTATTATTTTTAACAATTCCCTGACAGACACTTATAGCTGTTACAGCATTAAGTGATACTATTCCTGTCATGTCTGTAGTAAATTTGTCACGTGTCTGGATTACGCTAAAAGATTTTGATTTTTTTTTGGAAACTGACATTTTGACAGTTGTGTGGATCTTTAAAAATGATAAAGTATACTCGGTTTGGAAAATTTAATAGTTAAATTTTATAAAATTAACTATTGAAAATGTTACTTTTCAGGAGAATGAACTATATACATATATATATATATATATATATATATATATATATATATATATATATATATATATATATATATATATATATATATATATATATATATATATATATATATATATTATATATATATATATATATAATATATATATATATATATATATATATATATATATTTATATATATATATATATATATATATATATATATTATATATATATATATATATATATATATATATATATATATATATATATATATATATATATATATATATATGTATATATATATGTATATATATATATGATACATACTTTTCAAATTTACACTGGAATGTCAAAAAGTTGATAACAATTCTAAAAACAAATGAATTTTTACTAAATTTAAGCAATATAATCTTAAAAGTTCATTTTATTGAAATATGCACGTACAAAAATATCTGGACAAAACTAAAATAACAAAATTGCAACACTTTTTTTGGCTTTTATTTAATGTTTAAAACGGTAAACATAGCATAAAGTATTTTTAATTAAAAAGAAGATTGTTTTGAATAAATTTTAAAAATGACAAAGCGAAAATATATAAGTTAAGCTGTCAAGTGGTATTGCGTGCAATTGAAGACGGCAGAACTACAAGAGACAAAGCGGATCAGTTTGATATAGGAAAATCAATAGTAGCAGATATATATAAAAGATATAAGGAAAGAAATAACAATGGAATCTCTCCAAAGTCAGGAAG